TATATTTACATTTAACTTTTATATTTACATTTACATTTATATTTGACATTTACATTTAATATTTATATATAGACATACCATTTATATTTACATATGATGAACAATTGTGCAAATAATCTACACAGCAAAAAATATGATGATCCACAACACCATTGACTTCTAGCTAAATGTCAGAAAATTGCACTAAATGTTGAAAAAGTGGCAAGTACAAAAATGTTTCGTAACTTTACAAACGGCGCCCCATAGAGGAGAGCTCCCTTGTCGATTTTTGTGTTTTTCCATTACTGTTTTAGGCATATGCTGACTCTGACATCAGCGTATTTTCCTTCGGGACACCTATTAACACTTCCGCCCTGTTCATCATCCTCCTGCATCAAGTAATCGAGAGCCGGACACTGGTGAGCAGAGCTTTCCGGCCCACAATGTCTCCGTGCAGACATTAGCGTGATCGCCAGACAGGAATTTGCATTGCAGTGAGGGCCAGTTAGCATTACATTGTGCTTATAGTTTTGTGGTCGCAGGTGCTGAGGTAGTACAGTCGCCCATCAAATTGGTTCCAGGACCCTTTTCCACGAATGCTCAAGTCCCTCATATAAAATAGAATAGTATTTGCATGTAACCTATGCACATCACCCCATATTCTTTAAATCAGCTATACATCGCTTACGATACTTAATATAATGCAAATAACAAGAGAACTCAGCAGCCAAATAAATGACTTGATAATGTAAAATAAAATAGTTTTTTCTGTCTGCACTCTAGACTCTTGATCATTTTCCGCATTTTAACCATCTTCTTTTGGTAACAACACAATAAATCAGTGTGGGTAAACCACACTGATTTCCCCACGTGTAATAAAAACCTGTTACTTTTTACCTTGTGGGGACTTTTTTTTGATCCCTACAAGGGAAAAACTCAGTTTTCAAAATCAATATCAAAGTCTGTGCTTGCCGTCAATGAACTAATATAGCCCAAAGTCCCGTATCTTTGTTTGGTTGCTTATGGTTAAGGTTTGTTTGCACTATGTATTTGTATCTGTGCATTTTATGTGCCTCGCTGCTGGATGCATTAGAAATTTCCCCCGGAATCCTATAAAGTTTCTGTAATCTTATGTTGGGATTTCTCCTATTTAATCCCCCTTCCTTTTTCTTCTGTACACCCTCCCCCCCCCCCTGCCATTTAGACATGGATGCACAGTACAGTACTGCTGGGCAGTGCCCTCCTCTACTTTGTGTTCACACTCGTGTTCAGCAGCACGTGTGTCACCTGCAACTCCCCCTCCAACCCCCTGGGCATCGATGTGCGGCACATGTCAGATCCGCTCTTCTACTGCGTGTGTGTCCTCACGGCCGTGCTGGCACTGCTGCCCAGGTGTGTACCCAAGAAAAGAGTCCACACACACACACACACACACACACACACACACACACACACACATATATACCCGCACATAGACAGATGTCATTTTGCCTTAAAGTTATTTCCTCACTCTGGTCAACCCTGTAATATGAATGTAGAGCAAATAAAGTTTTCTAAATTCTTAAAGGGAAATGATAGACTAAAAGTGTTGACTCCTCAATGAATATGCTGTAGGAGCACCTTTAATAGCAATTTTATCATTGGGTCTATATGCATAAGGCACTATTCTGTGCATTTTGGGCATTTGCTATGACAGTGAACTCTGTCAAGCCTAAAAGGCAGTTGTGGTGAACAGCAGCTTTCAGTTCGACTTCTTTTTCTTTAAGCCACTACAATGTAGCCTTTGTTTTATCCCTTTGAGTGTTTTTTGTTTGGAGACTGTATCACTGCCTTTCGCCAATTCCTGGAGCCGCAACGTTCTATTTAGGTCTCACGAGAGCGTAAAATCATCTTCCGCTAAATGTCTTCTGCCAGACTTGGGCAGATCAGAGCTAATATGTGTCCCACCTCTTACACAATGGAGTCACTGTTGGCCTGTGAACTTTACATATCCCATAGATGTCTTGTCTCCATGACATCTGTGCTTCTTGTACAGATCCTTGGCTTTCTGAGCATTGCTTGTTCTAGGCTGTTTCACAGTCATGCCTAATTTTCCTCTGTTATGATGGACTGGGCTCTACAGCATATTCAATACCTTTGAAATACTCTTATATCCTTCCTGCGATGGATAAATTTTCCTTTTGTGTTCTTGAAGTAGAATATTTGTTTCCTCCCAGAGACTGATGTGTTTAAGATGAAATCATGTTTGTTGTGAATTTTTCTTTTTGGATTCCTGAAGATTGTTTGTTTCACCAGAAATTAACAGCAAAGGAGGGGGTCTAACACTGGCAGTTTCAATTTGTTGATTTTAGTAAATTGAGAAAAGATATTTGTGTCTTGGGGCGGCATGGTGGTACACTGGTTACCACTGTTACCTCACACCACTGGGACCTGGGTTTGAGGCTCCACCTATGGTTCCACGTGTGTAGAGTTGCATGTTCTCATCATGGGGTTCCCTCTGGGTGCTCT